CAGGAAGCTGGAATCTTTCTGGCCTATGATATACAACAGAAAAGGGAAAAGGACTCTGTCACCCACCTGCTCTCTTCACCCTCCAGTAGAGTCTTATACGTTGCGATCTCAATATCCAGGGCCAGCTTGACATTCAGCAGCTCCTGGTAATCCCGCAGCATGCAAGCCAGCTCATCCTTGGCCTTCTGGAGGGCATTCTGCAGCTCAACGTGCTTCTCCCGGGCATCTTTGAGGGCACAGTCCCCACGCTGCTCAACATCACAAATGGAGGTTTGCAGGCAGGAGACCTGTCAGAGGGGAGGATGATGGCACAGGTGTTTTCAAGGCTTCGTTTCCCAATTCCTGAACATTCTGGTTTTGGATTAATCCACTCTTCCAATTACAAACAGAAAAAAACCACCAGCATCCCTTCTCTCTATCCATTTTTCAACTATACACTTTCCAACTACAGCCTAGAACAGGTCTTAAGTCTACTAAAGACCAAAGCATCATTTTCCCCCATATCTGAGCTGTCCTGCAAGACGTTGCCCTTTCTGGAAACATCGCCTCTGGGCCTCTCCTACCTGCTTCTTCACATTCTCCAGTTCACACTGCAGCTTCTGTATCATCCGGGTTAGCTCTGAAATCTCACATTTGTTGCTCTGCAGATCATCGCAATACTTGCCTCTCTTATCCTGAAGCTCCTGAAACTGGAACCAAGAAACAAGACAATCATCATTTTTGACCTGCAACCTGTTAAGTTGCCAGGCAGACACACAGGTGGCTTCTTACTCACCCTGGTTTGGTAGAAAGCATCAACTTCTTCTTTGCTCTTCTGAGCTATTTCTTGGTACCAGCATTCAACATTCTTGATGATGCTTTCCATGTCCAGGTCTCGGTTGTTGTCCATTTTCACGATGACCGACGTGTCGCATAGCTGGCGATCTACCTGAGCTCGTTCCTACAGGTTGGGGAATGGCTTAGTCAGCTGTTAGCAATTCTCAGACTTTGTAATGAAGGAAGGGCTGGGAGGAAGATCCACACTGCTCAGCTGATGGATATAACAAGTCAAGAAATGTCCCTCAGGTTGGCTCAGCAGAAAATCCTCCCTGCTGGATGAGTTGCCACATGTCAGCTGCTGACCTACATGCTGACCTGCAGCAATTCTGTCCACATCAAGGGCAAGGAATTTGAGTGACTTAACCCTTGGTATCCTGTCATCTTCAGCTGCTTTACTGATGTTAATGACAGGATTAAGCTGGGAGTTTCTTTAGCTCTAATCAGACAGCTGCAATCCCGAGTAACCAGACAGACACATCTCTTTTCTCAGGGGTAGAGTTAGGACACAGCCAATTCATACCTGGGGCTGCATTAAGAAAGGGGGAACCACCCTATTTCCAGCATAATCATGTTAATATTATATCAACCTTGTACTTCCATGCTTTCAAGTACTCAGGGCTTGAGATAAGACCTGTCCAAGAGGGGTTTCAAGCTGTACAATTTGGAGCACCTAAAGGGTGAGACAGCACCACCAAACTCCTGGGCCAGACCAGAGAAACTCACCTCCTCAAACACACATTTCAACAACTCCAACTGCCTTCTTAACAGATCCACCTTCACCTCCAGCTCTTCCTTGTTCAAAAAGATACAGTCTGCATCCTGAAAGAGAGGAGACACTTTCCAGCCCAATCTCGCTGAAAACTTTGGAGAAAAACACAGGAGACAGAGGCAGTGCCAATAAAACAGAAACATGTTTCAACAAGATTTCAAGAGCAGAAAGGTGTGAGAGGGTGAGTCAAGATGCCCTGGTGTCTCCTAAAGGAAAACAAAGCCATTCCAACGTGACTTACAGGGATTAGTTTATTTATTACTTAGGACCTAGCTACAAACTCAGAATTGACTAATGAGTATTTAAACATAATTTTTTAATATTGTTCAAATTATTTCTGCTTTTCTGATGTCCAAGTATAAAGGATGTGAAGAGACAGTCAGAAAATAACCAGCGTCTTAGACACCAGGTATTCCAGTGTGACCTCTCCCACTCTGTCCCCCTTCCACAAACACACCCTCCCATTACACTTCAAGAATGTACTTGGAGTGCTGATGATGTAAGCTTTGAGGACACATTATTTTTACTTTCTACTTGCATTTGCCTCTCTTTCTGACCCTGTGCCTCTTTACAGGCCTCCCTCCTTTCGCTCTTTATAACACTTTTGCTGGGTGTTTGCTAATAATGCACTATTTCAGCCAAGTTTTACATCAGATAAACCTATTTGAGGCATAATGATTGATGTATTTTGAGCTTCTCACCTTTTTGAGTGCCACAAACTCATTCTCCACAGTTGTACGCCTGTTGATTTCCTCTTCGTATCTGTTGGAAAAGGAGAAGGGCTGAGGCAAGCAATACCATCAGACACACAGACATTAACCATCAGGTATAAATAACAACCTTCGCTTGCTCAGAGCCTGCCATCAGGCACTGTCAGATCAGTGTCTGGAGCACAAACATTAGGCCATCCCAAGATCAGAAGCTTCTTCAAGAACAACAACATTAACAATGCAAAGAGTTTGCAAGTGAGACAGAAGAATGTGACATCCCCGGAGGGGATGTGCCACATGTCTGGGAGATGTTTCCTGAGATGACCCAGAGGAGAAGTGAAATGCCAACAGCTAGAGGAGACCTGAAGGTCCTTACTTGCACTTGAACTCCTCCACCAGCTGGCTTGTGGCACATTCTTCACTGCCCAGTTTTTGCTTTTCACATAACAAGCAGTCCAGGCGCTTCCGCAGGTCACAGATGTAATTCTCAAAGTACAGTTCGAGGTTTTTCCCTTTCTTTGGTAGGACGTATTGCTGCAGGAGGCCCCACTTGGTCTCCAGCACTTTGTTCTGCTGCTCCAGGAATCGGACCTGCAGTCCAAAAAATAGCAATTCTTCAAATACAGCGATAAATGCAATAACTCAACACCTGGTTTAACTGTCTGCTCTCACTGTGAAACTACAGGTGTAAGAATAGGATTTGCAGGCAGTGAGATGTGATATGCCATGATTATCATAAAACTATCTGCCCTTATTTAGAAATCTAAAATTCACATGGCAATATTATTTAGAAATCTAGAAGTCACACGTCTAAAACTGCCTTTCTTGCCAGTGAATAAATATAAACCTCCTCCGGATGGTACCTCTGATGTATTTTAAGATGAGATTGAGTCCCCAGAGAGTAGAATCCACTTGTTTCTGTTTTCTCTACAAAGGGATCCGAAGGTGACAGCTCAGACTTAGATATCTAATGTTTAGGTGCCTGAATCAAGATTAACCTCCTTTGCCTTCAGGAATAGTTTTGGAACAGCCACAATATTTAAAGACAAAGGGGGAAAAAGGGTCTAATACAGGACAGACAGATGATCCCGTCAGGGCTGTAACTTCTGGGTGAGCTAGAAGGCAGTTGCAATGAGAAATCCAGCCTTGAACTGAGGCCGTCCAGAGAGGAGACACCTGCAAGAAAGTCCAGTACCACCATGGCCACGATACAAACACCAGCAAATACTGGGGCTGGTATGTGGCTGAAATGGATCCTTCCCCAGTACTGAAGATCTCACTCTGAACTACCATGGCTCTGTGGGAATCTGGACCCTTGCATGGACCCAGCTCAGTGATTCATGGCACAAGCTGGACTGGGGGTTTGGAGGAGGTTGGCTGTGTTTTATTTTTCTCAAAGAAGTACAAGCGCGAAGTAGGTTTGCACTCACCTTGTCGATGAAGCAGGCAAATTGGGTGTTGAGGGTCTTGATCTGTTCCTTCTCCTGACAGCGTATTTCGTGTTCCAGCGGGTCGACCCCCACGCAGAGGGGCTTCAGAAGCCGTTCATCAATGCAGATACCTTGGATGCCATCAGCCTTGCGGTCGGGGTAACCTCTCACAATACTATATCCCCTGGGGCCACAAAGGCCAACCCTTCCTCCAACACTACCGTAGCCTACACCTCCAAAGCCAAACTCTCCAAAACATCCAGTACCACAGACCCCGTTCACGTAGGAAATTCTCCTGTTTCCACCCAGGTTGCAGACGCTCCTGCTGCTGTAGGCACCAGCTCCGCATCGGACAGGTTGGCAGGCAGAGGCGGCATAGCTTCGACCACAAATCTCTGAAGCTGAACTGAAGCCTCTTCGTCCCAGGACAGATCTCACTGTAGGCGCCTGTCTGCTCATCGTGGCTTGCTTGAAGGTGGAATATGAAAGTTTAAGGGGAGCTCTTCTGCAGGAGAGGAACAAAGATCCCACTGAAGTGACACAGTGATGCTACCCCTTATATATATTTGGGAAGCTGGCCTTGATAGGATCAGGACGTTAATTTAAAGTGCTTAAGGGTTTGGTTTGCCTGGCAGCAATAAATGCTTCTCAAAATGCAAAACAGCCCAGCAAATACTAACTACTGAGGAAATAAAAAGGAATCTAAAAGTGCTCTGTTTGCAAGTTGGTTTAGAATATATTACGGTTTGAAGTGTTCCCCTAACTTACACTAATTATAGTTTAGCAAACATTTTTGAAGAAACTCTTTGTGATTTGTTTGCAGTGTGTCGTTTGGGGTTTTGTGTCTCATGGGTTTTTGTGTATGATGGCATGTTTTGCAGACTTGCACTTTGTGGGGGTAATTTCACAATCTTTGGGTGCGGAAAAGTAACCAAAAAAAAAAAGTCAGCCATGGAAAATCACTGTGGAAGTTGTGTTGGGTGGAACATTTCTGCACCTGAAACAACAGCAAATTCACTGAATTATGGGTCTGGATTCATATGCAAGGATTCAAAATGCCCCCCAAAACATTCCCATACAGCATTTCACACTGACCACCTCTTACCACCGTGAAACACCACCAAAACAGAGCAGGTTGCATCCAGGAACCGCAGCATATTTCAATTTGCTTACCAGATTTATGTTCTGTGCTGTCAGTGGCATTTTCACTTGAGTAATGCTACAGATTCTTAACCTGAAGTCCACTTGACAGAGTTAAATCTTTGGCCCTCGCTATATTGAAGCTTCTACCAAGCTGGATGTCAGAGACCTTTTTGGTTCATCTTCTGGCAGTCTCTACAGGGAACAAAAAAGAAACAGTAGCACATTTCAGCCTGGTGAGATCCACCTCATTCTAGAAGCGACTGCTAAAAGTTGTGTGACTTTGCCAGACACGTCCTTGCCTCTCAGTGGAGATACACCTCCATGAGAAACAGCCCCTGGGTCCGTGCTTAGGGGGACTGGTGTGATTCACTCTCCACAGGCGTTGGTCTTTCTCCATCAGCAGAGGAAGTCTTAATGAGTGGATTAGGCTGGACACGAGAGATGGCTTTGACTCACACTGGCAAGGTGAACCTCTCTCCCTCCTAATCGCCAGCCCAAGGAGGTGAGACAGTGAATCCACCTACCAACCATCTCAGGGCCTTCTCCAAACTGACATTCGGAAAGTCAAAACAATAGGACTCTTTCAGCTCTTTGAGACTAAAGTGTTTGGGAGAAAAAGAGACATTATAGTGCAAACAACTAAATGCCCTCAGCCCTTCCAGACCAAACGGGAGCAATACTTGAGAAGTGTTCCTATACATACAACACGACGGTATCTGGAGGCACCCAGTAGCTGTGTTCCCTCATCCTCATTATCCCCCTCCAAAAACATCTTTCAAGAGTTAGGATCAGGTGGTGCAAATCATAAAACCAGTGCTAAACCTCCTTAAAACATTAAGCATTCTAATATCAAGTTCTTAAAAAGAACACACGCACACCGAAACCGTAGGATGTGACTGCAGCACTGAGATTCACAAGGCTATTAATTGGACGTGTAATTGCAACTTATGTGAGTTTGAGGGGCTGGTGGTATAAATTAGTTGCGTAAACTGGTACTTTTGCCCTATACAAATGGGATAATTCAACATATTTACAGCATGACTTTCAGATTACACCTTTGTTTATAGTATTTTAGGCTCACAGTTCATACTGGGTTGCCAGCACAATTGCCAGTATCAGTTAGAACAAATATTAGAGACTTCAAGCTAAAGCTTGTAACTTCCCAGATACTTTAAGTTCTAAACAAAGATTTATCAGAAGTGAAATGCATATTTGAATCCAAAGAACAGTACAAAAGGCAATTGTCACAAGCTCTACCTAAGAAAACTGCATCCTGGACCAGAAGTCCGACTGAAGGCTGGCGTGCCGCGGCTCCCTTTCTGCACCCCATTATGCACGTCAGCTGTGTGGGAGACACCTGGAACGTAGCTTAGACTGCAATTAAATGTCTGTGAACCAACCATGCTGCAGCAGCCCCAATTCCAAAATGCCTCACCAGAGCCAGTGGCTTCCTGATATGTAAGAGGTTTGGGGCATAAGTTGCGCAGTATGGGGTAACATATTTGTGTTAGCCAAAATCCCTGGTTTTGCTCCTGAATTCCAGTGAGAAGGCAGCAATACAGAAGGTTCACTTAATGTCCTTTAGATCTTGACAAGGAACGAATGTTTCACCTGTTGGTACACAAGACCTCAAGAATAAACAATTTGTTATTGTGAGTACAGACATGGAAAATGGGAGAGTACTCTGAAGAAAAAATGACATCTTTTTGACTCAAAAAATAAAAAAAAAAAAAAGAGGGGAAGGACTGAGGAAGCAAAAAAAAACCCTATATTTTGATGAGGAGTTGGATGAGTCATTTTGACAACTTGCAATCTTTCCCTTTGTCAGCATTCTTCTCCCTGAATGTGCTGCTGAAATTGGAATTCATTATAAGAACATGTGAAGTTCACTAATTTGTTTGTTGCCTCTGGAGATGAATCCCAACTAGCTCTTCAAATATATTTTATGCGATAGTCTCAAAGAGCCATGCTCCATCTCTGTAATTATCCACAGCCATAGAAAACTCAATGCATTCAGGTAGGACAATGGCAATAACTTACCTGTGCTAACACCATTTGATAGATGTAAGATTGGGTCGTAACATGTATTTTTATGCACACAGTTTCTTGGACTGTATAGACTCTTGTCCGTGTCATTCATGAGATGTTAAAAAACTGATTTCATTAGTACAGTCTTATTCTCTTGTATCCTAAAGCCGAAGTTGTACAAGGGAATTCAATCTGGTAATGTATTTTTTCCTCTCATTAGCTTACATCTTCTCTGTGTTAGAAGTTGAGGCTTGGTTTTTCAAAGGATGTTCCTCATAAAATTCATCAAACACGGGGCCTAGGTACACCTTCCTCCCTACTTCAGCCATCAAGCTAGCCATATATTCTAATTTCATCTTTGAGACTCTCTCTATGGCTAATGGAAAGAGATAGGCATCTCTAGACAGTGATTCATCGCATCCTAAAATAGGCAGCTAAGACAGGTGGGAGGAATCCTGCTCTGGAGGTACTTACCTCTATTCTTATTGACTACCAGAGGCAGTCTAGACAACCAGACAAGTAGACCAGGCGCCCCACTTCTGGATGGTTAAAGTTAGCTGAATTAGTCCCACCCTTTGGGCGCCAAATTTCTTTAGCACCTTTGAAGTCTTAATGAGAGTACACAACATCACACGCTCTCCAGATTTGCTCAGTTCCTGATGTATGCATATATCATATCTCCGTGCAGTGATTAGCGCCTGCAAAGCTGAGGATTGCAACGAAGCAAAGGATTGTTTTGATCTTTTTCATGTTGATGTCTTCCTCCCACAGAATTGCGCAGTGGAAATGAATGTGGGATGTATGGGAATCCCGGCCCCTGAATCACACTGCCTGTTAAAGCAAAAAGATTAGAAAAGAAAAAAAATATTGCGGCTGTTATTAGATTCCTATATAAACTTCCCTATAAATCCACAGGAGCTTTTATCCCTTCCAGCTGAAACTTCTTTTCTTGGGCAGCAGAGACTATCTGAGCCATACAGAAGGAAGGAATTGCCCATGGAAGGTGGGTCAGGTCCTCCTGGGAAGCATAGTCAGCCTGCAGGAAATAGGCTCTTCCTTTTGTTATGCTAAAGCCCCAGTGCCCAAGCCCATGTTTGATTTGATTTGTGCGTCTTTGTGATGTACTGCTGAATTTCTGATGAAAGGCCTGGATGATTCATGAAGCACTGGTGTTCAGAAAGGCTGGTTACAGGTTTAAAGTAAAACACTTGCTAAATTAACTTATCAGATCTTGAAACTGTGACAAGGGGGAGTTTGGAGGTGAGAAAGCAACCCTAATTTTGTGTCATTTCCACGACTTATTCTTCTCTTGCATAAAATGTGACAGGATTGTCTATTTTCAGTGGAACACCATCACCTTTGCGAGACACTTAAGCCCCTCTTAATGAACATTTATGGCTGCTCGATTACTTTTTTCTTGTCAAATCTTTCTTGTGGTTTTCTTCATTAAAGACTGTTCCTGTTTTCTTTTGTGCTCCTCATATTTGATTGTGAGATAGCATCCTATCACATGAGAATTATGGGGGGAGAGAAAGATCTTCCAGTTCTGAATCACAATAATTGCTTCGGCTAGGCAAGACCTTCTCTCTGGATTCCCCCTTTTGTAAAACACATAGCTGTCCAACTTGCCTCTATATGGTTCATTTCTTTGTTCTGCTTGTTGCCTTTCATCAGTTTAATCACAAAACACTTTAGTCCTTTGTGGCTGATTTACGTTAATAATTTGTTGGCTTCTTTTTTTAATCTGCTCAAATGTACAGTAAAATATGTCCTTTTCATCTGTTTCAAAATCTTAAACTGGTAGTCATAAGCTTTCTAAAATGATGCTGAAAAAAAGCAGTCATTCCTGAGTTTTTTCCCTATAATGACCCTATTGCAGTAGATTTTGAAGAGGTATAGAATGTGTTTTGTCATCGCACCTTTGTGGTAGACATGCTATAAAAATGCAAAGAGATTGAGATGACTTCTCTATGAATCTTAAAACACCCATTGAATAGCATTGGGTAGGAGCCAAGTTTGGTGCAAATCAGCATAAGTAAGGTGACTTTAAAAGGCTTCCATAATTTACACTAGCCAAAGACGGGATCTACATGACGCTCTCTGGGCAGCCCTGCCACCTCTCCTTAATTGTTAAGACTTCTAAACAGCAGATATGTCTTGTCCAGTTTAGGAATAGGGCATTTCTGCATTCTGGGCAAACACTAAAAACCAAGTGGCAACACATTTGTTCTCCATGCAATTTATTGGAAAAGGAGCAAAATGTTTAAAGCTCTTGAGTCATTAAGATAGAAGTGAGGGTGCTGTAATTTATGCATATGTCAGGACACTAAGCAAGGAAGTTAATAGGAATACAGGCGATGTAATTACTCTTTGTGGACTACAGAAGGTGAAATGTGATTTTCTGAATTGAAATTTTCTTTCTGACTTGCCTGTCTGCATGTGGATGACCAAACTTCTCCAAGCCAGCGAACAAAGAACATCACTGGAGTCCTGCCCCTCCTCTCTGTGATCCCATGTGTCTCACCACTGTAACCCCACTGAATTGCCTAAAATTAAGTGAGGTAAATTTTGATGAAATGGTGAGTTCTAGAGAGCTCATTTCCAGAAACACTTCCCAGAGCACTCTAGGGAATGGATTCTGAATTAAATATCACAACTTGTTTCGTAGATAGCAAAAGCTTAATCAGGAAAAAAAAAAAAAAAAAAAAAAAAAGGCGGCTGGTGAGAAACAGGAATTGAGTGATAGAGATAAGTGTCCCAGTGCAGCCACCAGCCCTTTAAAGAAACAGTAGAAGTCAAAAGGAATATGTTTTACGTGTCCCTTTTTTGATGTGATCCCAGTGGAGTTTCTCTGATGTGGTTACATGATGCTATGATGTTCTTGTACCCAGGATGCCTCTTCCTTGTGTGTAAGGTGGAGCTGAGGACATTTTTACCATTGAAAGTGGAACAGGTCTTTAATTTTTCTACTTTAAGTCTTACGTCCTGGTTGTCTCACAGCTGAAGCTGATCGGGGTGTTCCTGGGGCATGAAGGTCCAGCTGAAATCCTCACCCCTGGCCAACACATCCCTTGTGGGTGAGCTGAGTTTCCCATGTTCTCTGCAGCTCTCTCCACAGCTCCCTGCAGTCCTACTGCAGAGTCCACCGGTGCCCGGAGGGGCTGAGCTCTGGCATGAATGGCCCCCACATCTGGCCCTAAATTCTTCTCTCCTAGGGATGCAGCTGGGAGCACCAGGGATATATTGCCCACCTACAGAGCTGGCAATGCTTCTGGGGGTGAATCCTCCGTGGCAGGCACCAGCATCTTCGGGTAGGGATGTTCTACCAATGCTACAGGCGGACTCGAATCTTCTGGACTGCCTACCAGATCCACAACCCAGGTCAGCTTTGCAGCCAGAGATGGTGTTGCAAGGGGTGGTGATTACTGTCATGGGAAAACACAAGCTGAATCACTCATGGGTAAGACACAACCTTCCTCCTCCCCCTGCAGACCAGAACTAGATTGTTTAATGCTGCAAGGAAAATAGGAAACCTACTTACACACTCTGACAGGCCTCCCAAGGCGTATCCTGAAGGAGAAGGTCACAAGGTTATCCATCATGTAACTAGCATTGATAGCATTTCCCAGCCCTATTGTCTCTGCTGAAGAGTCCCAAGGACTGAACACTTCCCACACGTGGTTGTAGTGGTACCCACCTGCTCTCTTCACCCTCCAGTAGAGTCTTACACGTTGCGATCTCAATATCCAGGGCCAGCTTGACATTCAGCAGCTCCTGGTAATCCCGCAGAATGCAAGCCAGCTCATCCTTGGCCTTCTGGAGGGCATTCTGCAGCTCAGCGCCCTTCTCCCGGGCATCTTTGAGGGCACAGTCCCCACGCTGCTCAGTATCACAAACTGATGTTTGCAGAGAGGACACCTGTCAGGAGAGACACAAGAAGTCCTTACTTTCCCTGTCCTTTTTCTTTCCATACTCACCTCTGAAAGAGAAATTCTCACGTCTTTCGAGAGTCCCAAACTGGGAAGTATTGAGGTTGTTTTCAGGAAATCCGGTTGATTTCAGGAAATCCAAATGTTTCCAAAATCAAATATCAATTCTGAAATACTACAAAAAGGCTGGACATGTCCCTGTGCTGCCAAGACTGTGTTTAAGTCTTGTTTTGAGGATACCAATACTTTGTTCTATTTGGAACTAATAATTAAGGTTTTCCATTACTTCCCGTTATAAACTATGTAATGAATTAGATGGTCTGAAAATTATACCAGTTTCTATGGGTGTTGAATTACTGGTGAGTCACAATTCTACTCTACTTATTGGATGCTTTGAACTTGTGTCAGAAGCATTGTCTCCTGCCAGAATTCTTGCTGGAGCAATTTCAGCAATTTTCCAAGTGGCTGTAGCTAATCCAACAATATAATTTGGTGCAATTAGTTCAAAATGATCCAACAGAAAATACACCAGCAGATAATCCTTCCTCCCTGCTCAGCACTGGTAAAATCTTCTCTGGACCAGTGGAACTAGCATGAGGCAATGCTCTTTGATAAAGACGAAAGAAATGCCGCAGAGATGTTGAAAACATGACTTGGGATCTCACATCTAGTATCCAGTGGGTAAATATGATCCATCATACCTGCTTCTTCACGTTTTCAAGGTCACACCACCTCCTCTGGATTACAAAACTCAGTTCTTCAATCTGTTGCTGGTAGGACTCCAGACCATTGCTATCTCTCCTCCTTGCCTCCTCAAGCTTTTGGAACTGATAGTAAGAAACAAGAGAGATGCCAATTAATACTGATAGTGTACATAATATAGGAGCCTTGCTTCTGTTTCCAGAGTGAATTAAGCTAGGTTTTGAAAAGTCCTCACAACTTTGCTGCTCCTGAGACTTTCAGCAGCAAATGGAGCTTTCCCCCTGTAGCTTTCACTGTTCAGCTCACCTACAATCTCCCCATTCCCAGCATGACCGTGTCCTGTCCCATTGCACTGTATCTGTTCTGGGGGTGTACTCCTGACTCTGAGACTCACAGAGTTTAGCAGAAGGAAAATTAGTTCCAGAAGTAACATAGTGAAGACAGAAAGGAAAAATCACTGCCTTTGCACTGCTACTTTTGACAGTGAGAGAATTAAGGATATGTCACTGGATGCTACTACTTACCTTGGTTCTGTACAATGCATCCAACTTTGCTCTCCTCTTCTGATCTGTGTCCTCATACCAGCACTCAACGGTCCTGAGGATGCCCTCCATGTCCAGACGTTGGCTGTTGTCCATTTTCACAATGACAGAGGTGTCCCGGGGGCTTCTTTCCAGCTCAGTGACTTCCTAGAAGCCATGTGAAGTGGCAGTAAGCTGTCAGTCTGTCTCTGTCCCTGGATTTCTTATCTCACACTCCAGTGGAAGTAACACCACCACTGGGAGTCTGACCGGAGCCCCAACCCTGGAGTTGAGATTCAATTTGGTCATGCATGCACCTTGAGGGTTTGGGGGTTTTTTGAGATCTCTAAGTCTTCCTTATTTGGGTTTCCCTTTGTCTCCCCAAAAGAGCCAGATGCCTAAATCAATGTAGGCAAGGAATGGCTGGTAGGAATAGCTGCCACCAAGCAACACTGGGACAGAAGCATCCATACCTGAGCAGAAACACATTTCAGGAACTCTAGCTTCTGCTTTAGGGTTTCTATCTTTGCTTCCATCTCTCCCTTGGCCAGATAGACACAGTCTGCATCCTAAAAGAGTTTCCAGACATTCAGAAGTCAAAATGGTGCCTACATGGAGACCTAAGGCAATTTCACTATATTTTTAGAGTAAGAAATTTTGTTTAGGAAATGTGATTGGGAAACTCAGATATCCCCTGAACAGCAACAGCTGAGGGGTCCCAAAAGCATCTACAATATTGCTGAATTCTTGCTTGAAAACCATCATTATTTGGGCATTAGGACTAGCAAGCTGTCAGTTTAGAATGAAATGTACTTTCTGTGCTGAAGGGCAGAGGTTTGATGCTCTCTGGCAATACTCTGTGATGTGCTGTTTCTGCATCTATAATTGTCCAATGACTTTTAACATTCTCAAGACCTGACCCTTGCCTTGCAAGGAGCAGATCAGAGGAAAGTCCTTGGATGTCTACATCCAACCCTTCCGTTCATATGAATTCCTTACCTTCTTCAGTGTCACAAGCTCATTCTCGGCAGCTGTGTGTCTGTTCACTTCCTGCTGGTACCTGTTGAGAAAGAGAAGAGCCTGGTTACTGGGTCACTCTGAGACTGAAGATCTTGTTTGTCTGGGTATTTAGGGGTCACAGTGCTTTTGCATCTCAGCTTTTTGGACCTCAGAGAGAAGTCTATTGCTATAGACAAAAATAAAAGTCCCATTAGACAAGTTGTTTGAGCTCACTTCCCTGTGATGATTTCTACTCACTTGCATCTGAACTCTTCAACGAGCTTCCCCATGTCATTCAGCTCGGTCTCCATCTGCCCCCTCTCATGCAGCAGTGAGTCAAGCTGCTTCTGCAGGCTGCAGATGAAGTTGTTGAAGACATGCTTGATCTTCTTCTGGGATGGCTGGACCTCCTTTTGGAGTAGGTCCCATTTGGTGGCCAACACCCTGTTCTGCTGCTTCAGCTGCTGTACCTGCATTCAGAAAGCAAAGCCACCTTCTACAGGCACATACTTAGATGCATTGTATGGGGACCAGATGAAAGTAGGGGGAACAAGACATCTTCCCTTCTGAGTCAATGCTCCAGGGGCTCATTGTAGTTTGAAGGGGCTGAGAGGACAAAAGAGAGGCATTGCAATCTTCATAATCCTATAATCCTAGAGCAAGCTGGGCATGCTCCTCTCCCATTCCCCAAGGAAGCCCTAGACAGCACATCTTCTGTGACAGCTACAGAAACCATAGAATATTTAAATAGAACTGCATACAGATTGGTTGATGGTGGAAACCATCATTTATCAATAGGAGCCAATGCAACTTTACAAGGTCTAGCTGCACAGAGAGAAGGCAAGCGTGCAGAAGCTCAGTAAGATACCTTGGAGGAACAGCTCCCTTTCACTATTAATGATAAAGACAGATGCATCTTATCAAAGCACATAAGCATATAAACCAGATTAAAATAACATTATCAACTAGGTCTGCCTTTGCATCTCATGGTACTGGAGCGATGCATGCTAAAACCAGCACAAGGCTCATGTAACGAGAAATGAGAGGAGAGAAATCAAAGACCTGAGCACAAAAATATTTCCTTCACACTTAAACCTCATCATTCTTTTAAGTCTTTTCTCAGCTCTCACCTTGTCAGTCAAAGAGGCAAACAGGTTATTGAGGCTCTTCATCTGCTCTCCCTCCTGCTTTTGGATGTGCTGGATTTCGGGGTTGATCCTCACATCAAGAGGTTGGAGCAGGCTCTTGTTGACATGCACCACACAAATACCTTCGCTTTTGCAGCTCCTGCTCTGGAAACCTAACCCGTGACTCCCACCTTCAGTGTTGGTATGGATGCCCCTGCACCCCCAGTCTCCACAGACCCCCTGTTCGAGTCTTTGGCCAGAAGAAATCCATTTACATCCATCTGTGTTTCGGAGGCTTTGGCTGCCGTGGCTCCAGGCTCCATAACCTCTTCCAAATAGCACAGCAGAGGGGAAAGTGCTGCTTCGGTAGCAGCTCATGCCACTCGCAGCAGAAGATGATAAGAAGATCTTTCTTCCATGAAAAGACCTTCCAGCTGACAGCTGTTGACTCATGCTGGCAGTTGTGATGGAGGAGAGGATGCTAGAGGACAGCAGAGCATGCAACTGAAAACAGGGGCCCCTCTGATCTGACAGCCCTGAGCACCTCCTTTATACACAGCCCAGAAGTGGGACTTTGTTGATGCAGATGAATAATTTGGGCTTTTCTTGGGGTTTGTCCTGCCTGGAAGCAATTTGTACCTTTAAATATGCAAAATAGTGCATAACACTGAACATTTGTGCAATCCTATGGAATTTTACTGTTTTTAAAAACGCTTTGTTTGCATACTCAGCTTGGAGGATCCCATGGGCTGGGGTTTGTGAGGATTCTTCTTTTGGTTTAGTTTGTTCTTCCTTACATTAATTACAGTTTAGCAAATGGCCTTAAGAGTATCTCCCTCTGTCAAGGACAATCTGTAAAGGAACGTTCTGCTGAACAGCAAATTATGATTTTTGCAGTATCGTTCTTTTCATAGTCACTCCTTTCACAAAGGACAGTGTAAGTCCATGAGGCACAGCCGAAGGCAGCCCAGTGCTTGGGAGCTGGGAACCACAGCATGGACTGGACACACAAATTTCCTTGCTGTGATACAAGAGAGCAAAATACTTATTTTTTATAAATAGACCTCCACACACCATCCCAGTTAAAGCCCATAACTGACTGGTCAGGACTCATCTCTTCTAATTTTTGGTGCTAGGTCTGCTGAGAGACAGGCATGTCTGAGATATTGCTCTCCAGAGAGCGTCTCTCTTCCTCACTGAGTCCAAGAAAGTCTAAAATGACAAGCTCAGACTTGGATGTCCAACTTCTAGAGGAATAAGCTATTGTAGCTGTATCTTCTCTTTAAGTTTTTGGCTTTGATTGTGTAGAACACATAGAAAACTGAGGCTTGCATGGAGAAGACAATAAATAGCTTAGAAAATAGGAAGCTCAGCCACAAGGCTGTTACCTGGATACTTGTCAATCATTTAATTGGAAACAGCGGTAAGCTTGGCCTTGGTGGGCAGACTATGAATGCACCAGCATCCTGCAAAAAACCTTATTAATACATCTGCTGTATGGCTACTCTCTGTTACTATCCTTTATAATTGAGCTTGTAATTAAAACCCTTGGGATACCTCAAAGGCAAATAAAAAAGATTTATTAGAGTTGTTTGACAGACAGGGAAGAAAAGGCTGGTAAGTTTAATATATTTGCTGAGAGCCTCACAATACCTCAGAGGTGGAGCCAAGATTACATCTCTGTCCTTGTGGCTTCTTGCCAAAGTCTGTTTCAAAACAGAAGGGCAAAGGGTTTCATTCCAGAAGATTTTAAAGAAATCGTTTTCCCCTGCTATTATGCAGCACTAATCCTTAACTTTTTCAGTAGGCTCAAACCTTGGTCAGTGTTTTTTTGGCAATTAAATATTTAAATGCTTCAAATTCCCAAGAAATGGGGTAGTAGTATTTCACATGCTCATTCGTTTCCCTGGTTTTGCAGTGATTTTTTAATCTTTTTTTTTTTTTTTTTTTTTTTTTCCTGGGCTCATTAGAGGGCTTTTGCACCACCTTTCGCAAGAAGGCTGATGAAAAACGAAACTGGTTACCAGAAACCTTACTGGTATTCTGTCTCCAAGAGCGGCTGATGCCAAAGGTTTTCTTGTACCTCATTATTTGCAAATCTTCTGCACTGGAACAGCTTGCCCTTAGCCCAGCAAGAGAGATAATTGATGGTATGAAGTAGCTGGAAAGACAACTAGCTTAATTGCAGGTTCTTGACAGCACTATCAATTACACCTACACGCAGAAGAGCAGGAATGATTGAAGTCCTGGGTGTCTCACTTGGCTGCTTAAATACAGGCAGAGTCCATGGCAATCCCAGCTGGAAGAGCAGGATTGGAGCCCAGGAGGAGGGCATTTGGCCTGGAGCTGCTCTGAGTCGGTCTTCGTTTTGTTCTTCCAGTTTGCCTCTCTTTCGTTTCCCATTGAATCCCCCCTCCGCATCTGCATGGCCCCGGTGATGAGGTACCACCGTGCGCGACGGTCCTCCTGCACCTTCCCAGCAGGGGTGGGTGGTCTCACAGCATTCTGCCTGGCCCTGCTGTAGCAAGGGGAGTTTGGGTCCTTTCAAACAAGAAGGAGCTCAGAGGTTTTGTTTCCTTCCTGTGATTAGAGCCTACAGGGTCATGGATGGGTTCAAAAGTTTTTCTTCCCGTAGATAGACTTTGATAGGCAAAACTTCTGAACCTGAGTTTTCACACCCCCAGACATAGTGAAAGGTTCATCCATCTGGATCAGCCCTACCTCTGACTCTGAGTCGAGATGTCCCCTGATGACCCTCAGTCCCCAAAAGGCAGGTGATGCCCCCTAATGCAATCCTTGGACTGTTCACAACTGCCCAGCTCAGGCTGTAGTTTAGAGGACCACAGGGTCTGCCTTCCTCTCCCAACTTCATCTCATCCCACCCAACTTGCTGCAGGAGACAAAGTTTTTGTGTGTCATTTGACAGCGGAGAGTCTCCACGCTTAAAATACATCAGATCTTCTCCACTTGTTTCCACCCAGTTGATGGAACTCAGTGTATTCATGTCAGAGCAATTGTGTGTGCTGCAGCTGCCTTTCAGGAGAGGGAGGGTTGTATGTGTAGGTGGACACCAGCAGAGTAACTCACAATCACAGCTCATTAATTTACTTCTAATCACCAAGAATTTTGGAAAAAGGCCCAGCAATGAAGATAGGAGGCCCACAATTTTCATGGTGCTACAATGTAGCCCTGACTAATTTCACAGCTTTTTGCCAAAGTAAATCGGGAGGGAACTTCTTGTTCTGGCCACATCTGTACAGCGAAGAGAGCTCAAGCCCAAAACTCCATCATTTAGAAAGAGACTGGGAGAGCCAGTGCAAAGACCAGCTCTACACCACTATGGTACAACTTTTTTCTCCCACTAGGTGGTGGTATCTAATGCATCTTGAATATCTCTGGCCACGTGGGTTCTTGGTTGAGTTCTTGGTGGTGACACAAGCCTGTCCACACCTAGTTCAACACTCAGAAACCTCTCAGGATATCACTAGCAAGAGCTAGCTCACAGCTGTAGAGGGCAATATTTAGAAGCCAAGACAATATGGGAACAACAAGGTCCTCAGTCCTTGCAAGAAGGTGAGATTTCATATGGATTTTTACTCTGAGGTTGACTATGAGCCTGGGATGTTTTGTAAAATATGTGTGCATCCAGTAATGCACCTCTGGTAGAAGAACAACACTGAGATAGTTACCACCAGTTTTAAGGACAACTGACCTACTGTCATCTTCTTCACCAGCTTGGTGTCCTCCACTCACACCTGAAATCTTGCTCATCATGTCGACAATCTTGGAGGCTCAAGATGTGCCTTTCAGTGTTACATCCTGAGCATGTTCACAGTGTTGTGATGACTGATGAGAATACATGCCCCAAGACATTATCTGACATTAATCTGAAGGTCCCATTTTATGACCATCTTCTCCTTTTCACTACTTCAGCTCAGCCCCTGAACCTCAAAAATCAAAATGTCTCTGGGCACAGCCTTAGGTAGTCTATCTTGTGACATTTTCCATCAAAAACGTATGGGCAATATCTAGTTGACATATGCAACCTAGCGTTGAGTCAATGAGAAACGAGCAGTGGATATATCCTTATACGCACTGACATTGAACCTCTTTTAGACACTTCCTACACTTTGCATGTGCTGTCGTGGGGGAAAGAACATCATCAGCTTGATCATCCCATCTCAAATCTGTATGGTCCAAAGATTTGAAACTTGGCCTTAAGTCTTATCAGAGCCAAATACACGAGCTCCTTACAGATACTAGCAGGAGTTGGACCACATAACTGCTGAAGGAAAGGAACAGCAATAAATAATCATTTAAAAAATATTATATTTTTAGACAACTGAAATCCTGAGCCAGAATTTTCACTCCTACTTAAAAATGGATAGCTTCATATGGAAGAAGGTGCCAGAAGACTCATCTCCAGAAACTGGAGATATGATTATAGCTTAGCTGACAAGCAGAACAGGTTTTGATATACGCTTCCAAACCATTCCTTCACTAAATTAGCCTAGCGCTTAAGGCCATGTACTACCGGTGTGTAAATAGTACTTAAAACAACTTGGTGGAGATGCTGATCAAGCCCCTCGTACGAGTTGGGAGTTAGCAAACTCCCTTCTAAGCTGATCTCTTCGGCTCCTGTTAGAGTCAACTGAAACAGATGGTCTGTCTGATATCCAGCGGGTGATTCACCCTGCACTATGGTAGATGCACAAATTAGGTCTTTTGAATTCCCTCCAGAAGTGCCTATTTCTCTCCATTGACTCTCCCTTCTTCCTTTTTGACCTTTCACACTAGAAAACAGATCAATAAAAACCCCACAGACCTGACCAGAGTGTTCATATTAATTCTTTATTTCTTCTGATTAGAGATGAGGAGTTCTAGGCACCCTGTGTACATAATTAATTTTAGTGAAACTAAAGGCCAACAATGCTTGATAGTATGCAGAATTACCTTTCACGGCTTCCACTTTCTATTGTAAGGAGGAAGGCTTTGTCTTGATTGAAAAGTCTTGCCTAATCTCTTAGATAAGACATGGGGTTGTGATGATGCAGCTTATTTATTACTGAAGAACTGAACTGTTTCAGTGAGTGATGCAGAAGCAGCCATTAACAGGGTGAATAAACTCTCAGCTGTTGGAGGGTAGCTCTCCCTGGCATTTTGCAAACAAAAGTAGACTCACACCACCCACACGCCAAATTTGTGGGACACAAGCCAGTGCAGATGAAAACACAGGCTTATCTCAACAGGGTTTGCTAATACAATCTCCAGATTTCGCTACCACAGCCGACTGCTTAACAGCTTGCATAGAGCTTTCTGCATTTGATGAGGTCTGTGATAACCTAGTTTTAACTGAAATATAGTGTCTAGACCTCCCCACATGCAGGGTACTCATAACTGCTTCCAGACTATTCTATAAAAGTTTGATTTAGACCTTTGTGGCTCCCTTTGAACCTTCTCCAGTTGCTTTCATGGCTCTACAGCCATTTGTAAATGGCTCTCCACAGATTTCCCACCACGCTGAGTATCACGCTCCCAACTGGCTGCCACCCCCAGGACTCTTCATAGTTGGATTTCTTTGAAAAGCAATTAAGAGAATCCTATTTTCCTTCCAACTAGGATAAAAGCATGAAATATTCCTGATGGGATTGTGACACTTCAGTTATCAAAGTGGAGTGTTGTTAAATTAAGGTGACACAGTTGCACTGAGATTTTGAACAAACTTTCCCAGTAATCTCAGCTGCTCTGCTCTTCATTAGAACTTTTGATTGGACTTCAAGGAAGTTCTGTGAGAAATTTAGAAAACATCTTGCTTTCTCTGCATAGAAGTGACCACTGAATAAGATGTTGGCCAAAAAAGGCTTACTTGGATACATCCCATCCAACTTTGATTTGGAACTCCGGAGGGAAAAATGGGACTAGAAGTGAGGTAAGGAGATGTTGTTCTTCATAGACTTTCTGCACCTTTCTTTATCTGCAACTGCAATGCTAACAAAATTTACACAGACAATTCGATCTGTCCCTTGGTTATTTAATGTGTGACTCCTGGAGGAAATGGTGGAACTGAGATGTAGACATGTGTCCTGCTTGACTGTCCAGATTAAGCCAACAGGACTTGTACCCTGAAACTAATTTTCACAGCAGATGTTCAGCGTCTGTCCCCTCACCTACCCCCTAAAAGTCTTTTGTGAATACCTTCTTCCATTTCTTCACAGATTTTTTTTCTTCAGGTTGGTTCAGGTCTCAATAAATTGGTCCATATATTTAAAGAGTTTTTTCAAATAATCTCATCATACATGTCAGAGTTGTACCCTCCCATAGACCAATACACACACAACAGACAGGGTTTCAAGATTTTAGTTGCCAAAGACAAAGGATCCAAAAAGCCTGAGATGAACTCAGAGAAAGCATAAGGAAACAATAGCAACTGTCACAATATTGTCATAAGACAGAGGTGTGTGGTTGGGTAATTCAGGAGATGGCTGTGCAGGGAGAAGAGAGTGCAGGATGTTCTAGGACGTGTTCAGAGTAATGGTGACATGAACCAGAGACGGTTTCATGGTGGGCATGGAAGCTACCCTTGCTACGAATACAGAGGATACTGCCATCATTCCAACTGGCAGGATTTTGAATGCAAATGTTACTTCTGGGAAGGATGTCCAGAAGAAATTGAGTCATTTCCACAAAGAGAAGTATAAACACCAGTCCCAGAACACTACACTCCTTCAGACCTGCATTCTTCACAGGTCTCACCAGGTCTGTAAAAATGGAATTCACAGCTCCCTCATTCATATACCCCTTCCAATTCAGGGACAGACACATCAGCAGAGCAATAACCTACATTGCCAGGACTAGAGATAATATCACAGCTCGAATCTCCACCACCACAGATGGACATTCCTCCTGCTCCACCACCTCTAGAGATGGACCCTCTCCTGCCAGAGCTGCTGCCACCTCCAGAGCTCAGCCCTCCACCGTGGGGACTGCATCTACCACTGCCAGAGCCGGATCCCCAACCTCCAGAGCTGTGGCCACCTCCAGACATGGAGCCTCCACTGCCCGAACTTCCACCACCTCCAGACCCCAAGCCTCCTCCTCCTCCTCCACTGCTGGAGCCACCACCACCAGAGCTCCAACCTCCATGACCAGAGCTTCCTCCACCTCCACCACCTCCAGAGATGGACCCTCTCCTGCCAGAGCTGCTGCCACCTCCAGAGCTCAGCCCTCCACCGTGGGGACTGCATCTACCACTGCCAGAGCCGGATCCCCAACCTCCAGAGCTGTGGCCACCTCCAGACATGGAGCCTCCACTGCCCGAACTTCCACCACCTCCAGACCCCAAGCCTCCTCCTCCACTGCTGGAGCCACCACCACCAGAGCTCCAGCCTCCATGACCAGAGCTTCCTCCTCCTCCACCACCTCCAGAGATGGATCCTCTCCTGCCAGAGCTGCTGCCACCTCCAGAGCTCAGCCCTCCACCGTGGGGACTGCAACTACCACTGCCAGAGCCGGATCCCCAACCTCCAGAGCTGTGGCCACCTCCGGACATGGAGCCTCCACTGCCCGAGCCTCCTCCTCCTCCACTGCTGGAGCCACCACCACCAGAGCTCCAGCCTCCATGACCAGAGCTTCCTCCTCCTCCACCACCTCCAGAGATGGACCCTCTCCTGCCAGAGCTGCTGCCACCTCCAGAGCTCAGCCCTCCACCGTGGGGACTGCATCTACCACTGCCAGAGCTGGATCCCCAACCTCCAGAGCTGCTGCCACCTCCGGACATGGAGCCTCCACTGCCTGAGCTTCCAGCACCTCCAGACCCCGAGCCTCCTCCTCCTCCTCCACTGCTGGAGCCGCCACCACCAGAGCTCCAACCTCCATGACCAGAGCTTCCTCCACCTCCACCACCTCCAGAGATGGACCCTCTCCTGCCAGAGCTGCTGCCACCTCCAGAGCTCAGCCCTCCACCGTGGGGACTGCATCTACCACTGCCAGAGCCGGATCCCCAACCTCCAGAGCTGTGGCCACCTCCAGACATGGAGCCTCCACTGCCCGAACTTCCACCACCTCCAGACCCCAAGCCTCCTCCTCCACTGCTGGAGCCACCACCACCAGAGCTCCAGCCTCCATGACCAGAGCTTCCTCCTCCTCCACCACCTCCAGAGATGGATCCTCTCCTGCCAGAGCTGCTGCCACCTCCAGAGCTCAGCCCTCCACCGTGGGGACTGCAACTACCACTGCCAGAGCCGGATCCCCAACCTCCAGAGCTGTGGCCACCTCCGGACATGGAGCCTCCACTGCCCGAGCCTCCTCCTCCTCCACTGCTGGAGCCACCACCACCAGAGCTCCAGCCTCCATGACCAGAGCTTCCTCCTCCTCCACCACCTCCAGAGATGGACCCTCTCCTGCCAGAGCTGCTGCCACCTCCAGAGCTCATCCCTCCACCGTGGGGACTGCATCTACCACTGCCAGAGCTGGATCCCCAACCTCCAGAGCTGCTGCCACCTCCGGACATGGAGCCTCCACTGCCTGAGCTTCCACCACCTCCAGACCCCAAGCCTCCTCCTCCTCCTCCACTGCTGGAGCCGCCACCACCAGAGCTCCAGCCTCCATGACCAGAGCTTCCTCCTCCTCCACCACCTCCAGAGATGGACCCTCTCCTGCCAGAACTGCTGCCACCTCCAGAGCTCAGCCCTCCACCGTGGGGACTGCAACTACCACTGCCAGAGCTGGATCCCCAACCTCCAGAGCTGCTGCCACCTCCAGACATGGAGCCTCCACTGCCCAAGCCTCCTCCTCCTCCACTGCTGGAGCCACCACCACCAGAGCTCCAGCCTCCATGACCAGAGCTTCCTCCGCCTCCACCACCTCCAGAGATGGACCCTCTCCTGCCAGAGCTGCTGCCACCTCCAGAGCTCATCCCTCCACCGTGGGGACTGCAACTACCACTGCCAGAGCTGGATCCCCAACCTCCAGAGCTGTGGCCACCTCCAGACATGGAGCCTCCACTGCCCGAACCTCCTCCTCCTCCTCCACTGCTGGAGCCACCACCACCAGAGCTCCAGCCTCCATGACCAGAGCTTCCTCCGCCTCCACCACCTCCAGAGATGGACCCTCTCCTGCCAGAGCTGCTGCCACCTCCAGAGCTCAGCCCTCCACCATGGGGACTGTATCTACCACTGCCAGAGCCGGATCCCCAACCTCCTGAGCTGTGGCCACCTCCAGACATGGAGCCTCCACTGCCCGAACTTCCACCGCCTCCAGACCCCGAGCCTCCTCCTCCTCCTCCACTGCTGGAGCCACCACCACCAGAGCTCCAGCCTCCATGACCAGAGCTTCCTCCGCCTCCACCACCTCCAGAGATGGACCCTCTCCTGCCAGAACTGCTGCCACCTCCAGAGCTCAGCCCTCCACTGTGGGGACTGCAACTACCACTGCCAGAGCCGGATCCCCAACCTCCAGAGCTGCTGCCACCTCCAGACATGGAGCCTCCACTGCCTGAGCTTCCACCACGTCCAGACCCCAAGCCTCCTCCTCCTCCTCCACTGCTGCAGACGCCACCACCAGAGCTCCAACCTCCATGACCAGAGCTTCCTCCGCCTCCACCACCTCCAGAGATGGACCCTCTCCTGCCAGAGCTGCTGCCACCTCCAGAGCTCAGCCCTCCACTGTGGGGACTGCAACTACCACTGCCAGAGCCGGATCCCCAACCTCCAGAGCTGTGGCCACCTCCAGACATGGAGCCTCCACTGCCCGAACTTCCACCACCTCCAGACCCCGAGCCTCCTCCTCCTCCTCCACTGCTGGAGCCACCACCACCAGAGCTCCAGCCTCCATGACCAGAGCTTCCTCCTCCTCCACCACCTCCAGAGATGGACCCTCTCCTGCCAGAGCTGCTGCCACCTCCAGAGCTCAGCCCTCCACTGTGGGGACTGCAACTACCACTGCCAGAGCCGGATCCCCAACCTCCAGAGCTGCTGCCACCTCCAGACATGGAGCCTCCACTGCCCGAGCCTCCTCCTCCTCCACTGCTGGAGCCACCACCACCAGAGCTCCAGCCTCCATGACCAGAGCTTCCTCCTCCTCCACCACCTCCAGAGATGGACCCTCTCCTGCCAGAGCTGCTGCCACCTCCAGAGCTCAGCCCTCCACCGTGGGGACTGCATCTACCACTGCCAGAGCTGGATCCCCAACCTCCAGAGCTGCTGCCACCTCCGGACATGGAGCCTCCACTGCCTGAGCTTCCACCACCTCCAGACCCCAAGCCTCCTCCTCCTCCTCCACTGCTGGAGCCGCCACCACCAGAGCTCCAGCCTCCATGACCAGAGCTTCCTCCTCCTCCACCACCTCCAGAGATGGACCCTCTCCTGCCAGAACTGCTGCCACCTCCAGAGCTCAGCCCTCCACCGTGGGGACTGCAACTACCACTGCCAGAGCTGGATCCCCAACCTCCAGAGCTGCTGCCACCTCCAGACATGGAGCCTCCACTGCCCGAGCCTCCTCCTCCTCCACTGCTGGAGCCACCACCACCAGAGCTCCAGCCTCCATGACCAGAGCTTCCTCCGCCTCCACCACTTCCAGAGATGGACCCTCTCCTGCCAGAACTGCTGCCACCTCCAGAGCTCAGCCCTCCACCGTGGGGACTGCAACTACCACTGCCAGAGCTGGATCCCCAACCTCCAGAGCTGCTGCCACCTCCAGACATGGAGCCTCCACTGCCCGAGCCTCCTCCTCCTCCACTGCTGGAGCCACCACCACCAGAGCTCCAACCTCCATGACCAGAGCTTCCTCCTCCTCCACCACCTCCAGAGATGGACCCTCTCCTGCCAGAGCTGCTGCCACCTCCAGAGCTCATCCCTCCACCGTGGGGACTGCATCTACCACTGCCAGAGCCGGATCCCCAACCTCCAGAGCTGTGGCCACCTCCAGACATGGAGCCTCCACTGCCCGAGCCTCCTCCTCCTCCACTGCTGGAGCCACCACCACCAGAGCTCCAGCCTCCATGACCAGAGCTTCCTCCTCCTCCACCACCTCCAGAGATGGATCCTCTCCTGCCAGAGCTGCTGCCACCTCCAGAGCTCATCCCTCCACCGTGGGGACTGCAACTACCACTGCCTGAGCCGGATCCCCAACCTCCAGAGCTGTGGCCACCTCCAGACATGGAGCCTCCACTGCCTGAGCTTCCACCACCTCCAGACCCCGAGCCTCCTCCTCCTCCTCCACTGCTGGAGCCACCACCACCAGAGCTCCAGCCTCCATGACCAGAGCTTCCTCCGCCTCCACCACTTCCAGAGATGGACCCTCTCCTGCCAGAACTGCTGCCACCTCCAGAGCTCAGCCCTCCACCATGGGGACTGCAACTACCACTGCCAGAGCCGGATCCCCAACCTCCAGAGCTGCTGCCACCTCCAGACATGGAGCCTCCACTGCCCGAGCCTCCTCCTCCTCCACTGCTGGAGCCACCACCACCAGAGCTCCAACCTCCATGACCAGAGCTTCCTCCTCCTCCACCACCTCCAGAGATGGATCCTCTCCTGCCAGAGCTGCTGCCACCTCCAGAGCTCATCCCTCCACCGTGGGGACTGCAACTACCACTGCCTGAGCCGGATCCCCAACCTCCAGAGCTGTGGCCACCTCCAGACATGGAGCCTCCACTGCCTGAGCTTCCACCACCTCCAGACCCCGAGCCTCCTCCTCCTCCTCCACTGCTGGAGCCACCACCACCAGAGCTCCAGCCTCCATGACCAGAGCTTCCTCCGCCTCCACCACCTCCAGAGATGGACCCTCTCCTGCCAGAGCTGCTGCCACCTCCAGAGCTCAGCCCTCCACCGTGGGGACTGCATCTACCACTGCCAGAGCCGGATCCCCAACCTCCAGAGCTGTGGCCACCTCCAGACATGGAGCCTCCACTGCCCGAACTTCCACCACCTCCAGACCCCGAGCCTCCTCCTCCTCCTCCACTGCTGGAGCCACCACCACCAGAGCTCCAGCCTCCATGACCAGAGCTTCCTCCGCCTCCACCACCTCCAGAGATGGACCCTCTCCTGCCAGAGCTGCTGCCACCTCCAGAGCTCAGCCCTCCACCGTGGGGACTGCATCTACCACTGCCAGAGCCGGATCCCCAACCTCCAGAGCTGTGGCCACCTCCAGACATGGAGCCTCCACTGCCCGAACTTCCACCACTTCCAGACCCCGAGCCTCCTCCTCCTCCTCCACTGCTGGAGCCACCACCACCAGAGCTCCAGCCTCCATGACCAGAGCTTCCTCCACCTCCACCACCTCCAGAGATGGACCCTCTCCTGCCAGAGCTGCTGCCACCTCCAGAGCTCAGCCCTCCACCGTGGGGACTGCATCTACCACTGCCAGAGCCGGATCCCCAAACTCCAGAGCTGTGGCCACCTCCAGACATGGAGCCTCCACTGCCCGAACTTCCACCACCTCCAGACCCCGAGCCTCCTCCTCCTCCTCCACTGCTGGAGCCACCACCACCAGAGCTCCAGCCTCCATGACCAGAGCTTCCTCCGCCTCCACCACCTCCAGAGATGGATCCTCTCCTGCCAGAGCTGCTGCCACCTCCAGAGCTCATCCCTCCACCGTGGGTACTGCAACTACCACTGCCAGAGCCGGATCCCCAACCTCCTGAGCTGTGGCCACCTCCAGACATGGAGCCTCCACTGCCTGAGCTTCCACCACCTCCAGACCCCGAGCCTCCTCCTCCTCCTCCACTGCTGGAGCCACCACCACCAGAGCTCCAGCCTCCATGACCAGAGCTTCCTCCTCCTCCACCACCTCCAGAGATGGATCCTCTCCTGCCAGAGCTGCTGCCACCTCCAGAGCTCAGCCCTCCACCGTGGGGACTGCAACTACCACTGCCTGAGCCGGATCCCCAACCTCCAGAGCTGTGGCCACCTCCAGACATGGAGCCTCCACTGCCTGAGCTTCCACCACCTCCAGACCCCGAGCCTCCTCCTCCTCCTCCACTGCTGGAGCCACCACCACCAGAGCTCCAGCCTCCATGACCAGAGCTTCCTCCGCCTCCACCACTTCCAGAGATGGACCCTCTCCTGCCAGAGCTGCTGCCACCTCCAGAGCTCAGCCCTCCACCGTGGGGACTGCATCTACCACTGCCAGAGCCGGATCCCCAAACTCCAGAGCTGTGGCCACCTCCAGACATGGAGCCTCCACTGCCCGAACTTCCACCACCTCCAGACCCCAAGCCTCCTCCTCCACTGCTGGAGCCACCACCACCAGAGCTCCAGCCTCCATGACCAGAGCTTCCTCCTCCTCCACCACCTCCAGAGATGGACCCTCTCCTGCCAGAGCTGCTGCCACCTCCAGAGCTCATCCCTCCACTGTGGGGACTGCATCTACCACTGCCAGAGCCGGATCCCCAACCTCCAGAGCTGTGGCCACCTCCAGACATGGAGCCTCCACTGCCCGAACTTCCACCACCTCCAGACCCCGAGCCTCCTCCTCCTCCTCCACTGCTGGAGCCACCACCACCAGAGCTCCAGCCTCCATGACCAGAGCTTCCTCCTCCTCCACCACCTCCAGAGATGGACCCTCTCCTGCCAGAGCTGCTGCCACCTCCAGAGCTCAGCCCTCCACCGTGGGGACTGCATCTACCACTGCCAGAGCCGGATCCCCAACCTCCAGAGCTGTGGCCACCTCCAGACATGGAGCCTCCACTGCCCGAACTTCCACCACCTCCAGACCCCGAGCCTCCTCCTCCTCCTCCACTGCTGGAGCCACCACCACCAGAGCTCCAGCCTCCATGACCAGAGCTTCCTCCGCCTCCACCACCTCCAGAGATGGATCCTCTCCTGCCAGAGCTGCTGCCACCTCCAGAGCTCATCCCTCCACCGTGGGTACTGCAACTACCACTGCCAGAGCCGGATCCCCAACCTCCTGAGCTGTGGCCACCTCCAGACATGGAGCCTCCACTGCCTGAGCTTCCACCACCTCCAGACCCCGAGCCTCCTCCTCCTCCTCCACTGCTGGAGCCACCACCACCAGAGCTCCAGCCTCCATGACCAGAGCTTCCTCCTCCTCCACCACCTCCAGAGATGGATCCTCTCCTGCCAGAGCTGCTGCCACCTCCAGAGCTCAGCCCTCCACCGTGGGGACTGCAACTACCACTGCCTGAGCCGGATCCCCAACCTCCAGAGCTGTGGCCACCTCCAGACATGGAGCCTCCACTGCCTGAGCTTCCACCACCTCCAGACCCCGAGCCTCCTCCTCCTCCTCCACTGCTGGAGCCACCACCACCAGAGCTCCAGCCTCCATGACCAGAGCTTCCTCTGCCTCCACCACTTCCAGAGATGGACCCTCTCCTGCCAGAACTGCTGCCACCTCCAGAGCTCAGCCCTCCACCGTGGGGACTGCAACTACCACTGCCTGAGCCGGATCCCCAACCTCCAGAGCTGTGGCCACCTCCAGACATGGAGCCTCCACTGCCTGAGCTTCCACCACCTCCAGACCCCAAGCCTCCTCCTCCTCCTCCACTGCTGCAGACGCCACCACCAGAGCTCCAACCTCCATGACCAGAGCTTCCTCCGCCTCCACCACCTCCAGAGATGGATCCTCTCCTGCCAGAGCTGCTGCCACCTCCAGAGCTCAGCCCTCCACTGTGGGGACTGCATCTACCACTGCCAGAGCCGGATCCCCAACCTCCTGAGCTGCTGCCACCTCCAGACATGGAGCCTCCACTGCCCGAGCTTCCACAACCTCCAGACCCTGAGCCTCCTCCTCCTCCACCTCTACTGCTGGAACCACAGCCCCCAATTCTGGATCCCCAACCTCCTGAGCTGTGTCCACCTCCCGAAATGGAGCTTCCACTGCCCAAGCTTCCACCACCTCCAGACCCAGAGCATTCTTCTCCTCCTTTGATGGACCCACCACCACCAGAAACGGATCCCCAACCTCCAGAACTGTGGTCACCTCCAGTGTTGGAGCCTCCACTTCCTGAAGTTCCCCCACCTCCAGACCATGATCCCCCTCCTCCTCCACAGATGGATCCACCACTGCCAGAGCTCTGACCCCATCTACTAGAGCTTCCAACTTTTTCTCCTCCTGATATCAACCCTCTCCTTCTGTTCTTGCTGTCACTACCAGAGCTTAACCCCCGTTTCCCGATTTTCAGTTCTCCAGATCCTACTCCAAAGACTCCAGTAGCACTCGCATTGTGGTCAATGACACCTGCAAGAAATGGAAATATCCACCTTATTCTTTTCACCCAAAAGCACATCTGTTATAAGGACTTATTTATGGCCACCTTTGCACCTACTCTAATGGTCATAGTCGTATCTTTTAAAAGGGGCAACAAGGATCTTCAGTAGCAGATGTACCTATGAATTAAATTCTCATTTCTTTCTGGCTTTAACATGACTCATATCTTTATCTTTACATGAACATTCTGTGCACCCCTTCCTTTGTGATGGCAAATAGTATGTATTCCTCTCTCTTTCGTTTGGCCTCCTATTTCCACCAAATTTTGGACTAGATTTTTTTGCCTTCAGTTCTCATATGCACCACATAGACCTAGAGATTAAGTGAAGTGTTTCCTGCTTTCTACAAATTTGGTTGAAATTAGCCATTAAGTTCCAAAGTCAGTAGCTCAGTGCTGACATATTAATGCATATGGACATGCGTTCACACACACGCTTACAAGAGACTACTGTTTCCTTCATTGCCCTAGGAAATTAAGATGGGAACTAAGTTAGGTTGTTCTGCTGGTAGGTGTTAAGCACCACAGACAAGAAAATGGCAACAGTGCTCTTAAAAAAGCAAAGAAATCCTTGAAATACTTACAGATTGTGGCTGGTGAGCCCTCCTGTATCCTATGGGGGAGAAGAGACATTGAGATAATGCATCCAATAGAAGTACAAGTCAGGCTAGGCTCTATCAGTAAGGCAATGAAAGAGGTCCCTCCTTCCAGAAAGCAATTCATCCTGGAGAGCTAAGTGATAGATCGAAGAATGGGACACGCTGTTTTTTACAGGTGCTTCTATCCAGGATGAATCGTTTGTACCTACCTGGTCTCCTCCTCCTCAAGGAGTGATCTATACATGGCAATTTCTATATCCAAGGCCAATTTCACATTCAGGAGCTCCTGATAATCATGAAGAAGGCGAGCAAGATCATCTTTGGCCTGCTGCAGGACATTTTCCAACTCCTGAAGCTTTTGCTGGCCATCTTTGATAGCAGAGCTCCCACGCTGCTCAGCATCATTAATGGTTTCTTGCAGGCTGGCATTCTGCAGAAGACACAAACAGAATGTGTCCATTTCCCTTCCACAGGACTGTGATTTTCAAACCTTTCTGGCTTTTCTTGGAAATTAAAAGACCTGCCTTGATGACAGAACTCAGAAGATACTTTAGACTGGGTAAATTAACCCAAATTAAATCCCAATGTAGACAGCCAAAATCTAAATCTGCTTCATTTTGAAGAGAAAACATCATCTCTAGGTTTGCCTCCAAAGGACAGGATACATTATGCTGCACTGGGTCCCCATGCAAAAGTGATTTAAATAGTTTAGTCATGTTGGAAAGCATCAGCTTTACCTTTTTCCTTGCAATTTCAATTTCTGGTTGCAATCTTTGGATTTGCCTGGTAAGTTCCTGGATTTCCTGATAACTGTTCCTCAGTTGCTCACGTTGATTTATCCACATGTTCTGAAGGTCCTGGTACTGAGGTGCAGAGAAGAGAACAGACATTTTTGGTTACTTATTACTGAGCAGACTTGCCTCTCTATCCTGATGTCTACTCACCCTGCCCTGATACATGGCATCTACTTCAGCTTTGCTTCTCTGAGCAATTGTCTCATACTCCTGCCTGACTTCCTCAATGATGCCATCCATGTTCAGCTCTCTGTGGTTGTCCATGGACAGAATTATGTTGGTGTTGCCAACTACTGTTTGCATCTGGGACAGCTCCTGCAAGAAAAACAAGATTTTGGATTTAACAGTTCACGTGAGCAGTCAAGGTTGTGTTACAAGTAATGGCACCCTCTAGCCAGTAACCCACTGGAACTTCCCTACCTGCATCCCCCAGGTCCTATGGTTCCACCATCAGTTTTAATTTTCAGGTGTCTCTTCCAGCCTTCATGACACACCAGACCCCCCTTTTCACTCACAGATTAAAAAGGACTTTATAATTTCAATGGCCAAGAATAATCCACTCTCTACATTACAAAGTCCTGTTCAGGTGAAATTTCCATTAACCTCCAAAAGATACATGTCCTTCAAGACCTGAGGGTAAATTCTTAATCTGAGAATTATACTCACAGCTTCATGTAAGCATCTGAGGAACTCAAGCTCCTGCCTCAGTATTTCCACTCGAATATCAAACTCCATTTTTCCCATGTAGGCACTGTCCAGTTCCTGTAAAAAAAAAAAAAAAGCCATAGACATATTTGTATTTCTTTGATGGCAATCTCTCCACTGAAGTACAATTCTTGCAATACTTGGTACATTTCTTTGAAGCCTCCATTTCTGGAGTCAAATAATGGCCCATGAATCTCAGCTTTCACTTGAGAATCAATTGGAACAAAGGCAAAGTTTTCAACTCTAAGAAGAAAAGAATGTCTTGGAAATAAGCAAAATAGCTGTGGCAATAAATGCGTTCCTGGAAAAAATGTAAAATGTAGAAACAGATTTCATTAATTCTTCTAATAAAAAGTTGTCTAAATTTTCTATTCTCCTATCTAAGCAATCTGTAGATATTATTTAACCCCTAATAACGATGTCTCACCTAGGTTGTGACTGATTGAATAGAGAAAGACCAGAACTTTTTAGATATTAATTTTACAAAAGGTTGAATCAGTCTTTAGAGGAAATTATTACTCTCTAGTCTTGTAGCAAAAAAGTCAGGTTTTCAGTGTCTTTAGTTAGAGGAGAGTTAGATGAAGTTAAGCAAAGACTCTGCTTTTCAAAATTTCAGCAACCATCCGGTTATTGCTTTATTTCTTAGGTTTTGATTTAGCTCAATGTCTTGGATTACTTCACCTTTTTAAGTTCCACAAACTCCTCTTCTTTAGATGCGCGCTTGTTGATCTCATCCTCGAATCTGTTGCAGCAAATAAAAGAAATAGGTAGATCATTGCCTATTTTACTTTTCCAGTCAAGTGGATCAGAAACCAAAGGGAATCATCCAAAAAGGGAATGTGCTAAATTTTCATTTAACTGCAGTTTCTGGCAGCTGCAAAAGCAACTGCAATCCCCCTGCAAAAGTATATGCTAAATTAGCCAACAAAATGTGGTAGATACACATCAGTTCTAACATCCCTGTAATTCTGAACTAAGCTTCCCATATTTCAGACCTGTGGTCATATATTATCTTTTGGGTGCAGCTAAACTAGAACTGACTCTTCTCAGCTTCAGGCTGAGAGAGTTGAGGGGTGCAGCCTGGAGAAGAGAAGGGTCCAGGAAGACCTCGGAGCAGCCCCCCAGTGCTTAAAGGGGGGACAGGAAAGGAGGGGAGGGACTCCTGATCAGCGGGGTGAAGATAGGATGAGGGGTAATGGTTTTAAACTGATAGGGGGAAGATTTAGATTAGCTGTGGCTGTGGCTGCCCCCTCCCTGGAAGGGTTCAAGGCCAGGTGGGATGGAGCTTTGAGCAGCCTGGTCTAGTGGTAGGTGTCCCTGCCCATGGCAGGAGGGTTGGAACTATATGATCTTTAAGGTCCCTCCCAACACAAATCATTCTAGGATTCTATGATTTTAAGATTCACAACTTGACCCCACTGAAAAGCTCTGTCCCTCCCCTCCCGACTGTCCAGGTTGACCACAACTCCGCAACTACCAGCAGGAGCAAGGGGTGCTGGGTTACTCATTGCCTGCGGGAGGAAGGGCATGAAGGAGGACAGGAGGAGAGAAGAGTGGGGTAGATCTACAGGACCTTTGATTTTCCTCTTATTGTTCTGGCTTCTACCAAATCTGCATTAGTCTTCCAACATCCAAGTCAAGTCCCATAATGAACCTACTGCAGAGCAGTGCTATAACAGCTACAAAACCTTTGAAGGTGTGAAGCTAAACTATGCCATTCCAGACCATGAATAACATTGCCTTGGAAAACTCCAGTATGCTCTTTCCCAGACTTGTGATTATTCACCTATTTTTATAATCTTCAACAAGCTGAAGCATGTTATATGCTTCTGGATCCAGCTGCTCCTTCTGGTTCTGGAGCGTTTCTAGCTGCCTCTGCAGGTTGCTGATGTATGATTGGAAGAAAGAGGTGATATTTCTACTCTCCTCCGGTCGGGTACTTTGCTGCTGCAGAA